CAGCTGTACGGCGTGTGCTCGAAGCGGCGGCCCATCTACATCGTGACGGAGTACATGTGCAACGGCTCGCTCTTCAACTACCTGCGCCGCGCCGCGCCCGACCACCTCGGCCCCGGCCTGCTGCTCGACATGTGTCTGCAGGTTCTGCTCTCTTACTGGCCTGCGTACTCATCACACTATGTTTTTTTTTATTATTTTTAAACCAACGCTTCACCACAATCCCACCTGATGGATGAAACGCGCTAATTTAATAAGAATCCATTCACCCTTCTCTTGGAGGCACACACGTTATCCGTTCAGCCGTTTTGGAGATAATAATTACAAACATCTATCCCCACCATCTATCACCCTAACTTTAGGTTAGGCTCCCTAAGTAGTGGGGATGTATAGTGAGCTAGTGATGTGATAATTTATAAACCATCGCATTTGTAATATTGGTAAGGTTAATAAAATATACAAAACTATGAAATCTTGTAAAGGGTTTTAAATACGTATTCATGAATTCGTTAATACTATTTATAATTTTTTGGAGAGATACAAATAACTTTGTTGACATATAAAACAACTGGAATAGGAAAAAGAATAACTACTTGATAAATCCAATAATTGTTCTTAGCGAAAGAAAATGGTCAGTATTTAAGTGTACCATACATATTTGTTTCTAATATTAATGTATTGTTTTTGTACATTTTCAGGTGTGCAAAGGAATGGCGTATTTAGAAAGGCATAACTATATCCATCGAGATTTAGCTGCAAGAAATTGTTTGGTCGGTGAAGCTAATGTTGTGAAGGTGAGAAAATTTAAATACAATATTAAAACTAGTTTATGTTCGCAACTCTGTCCGCATAGAATTAAAAACAAAATAAAAGCAAGTACGCTATGTGTCCTTCCAGAGTTTGTTCTACATTTTTGCCAAATTTCTTTGAAATCCGTTTAGCTATTTAGACTACAAACTAACATCCATCCAAACATCCTTCCATACATCTAAACTTTCGCCTTTTTAATATTAGTATGATTAGTTTCAACATCGAGGTATTTTTAAACTGAAAGATTATTGTTATTGTCAATCCATTTAAATAAAATTCTATAGAATTATAATTCTGAATTTCAGGTAGCGGACTTCGGCCTGGCTCGATATGTATTAGACGACCAGTACACGAGTTCCGGAGGCACCAAGTTCCCTATAAAATGGGCCCCACCTGAAGTACTCAATTATATGAGATTCTCATCGAAATCTGATATATGGGCTTTCGGTAAGTAAATACATTTGTAGTCAGTAGAGTTTTCTTTGCTCTGTAATAAACTTGGCTATTGGCCAACTAAATTAAAACCTTTGTAAGTAGATTGTGTCCTTTCCGACTATACACTTCTGTGTCAAATAGCGCCTAGATCCGTAAAACCGTTTTAGAGATATGTAGGAACAAACATCCATCCGTCCATCCATCCATCAAATTTTCGTATTTATATGTATGTAGTATGATTAAGGAAACGTGAATGATTTCTTACCCGACTGACAAAGAGGGTAATGTTTTTTGAACATATGTAAGTTTGTATGTATGTAAATTTCGTTGTGACATTCTATTGCCTAAACGACTAAACCAATTTTGACCAATTATGTGTCCTTTGATTCAAAGTATTTTTTACATTTGCGAGTTTTCATCGTAATAGATGTATGTATGAAATTAGTCAGTCGAGGTTTTGTTGTAATTAAGGTTATTTAGTATAAATGTTTATAATTGCAGGTGTTCTAATGTGGGAGGTGTTCACGTGCGGCAAGGTGCCGTACGGCCGCATGAAGAACAACGACGTCGTAGAAATGGTGCAGAAGGGACAAGTGCTCGAGCGGCCCAAAGGATGCTTGATTGAAATTTATAATGTAAGGGTTTCTGTATAAACACTTTACAAAAAAGTTAGTGGATTGAGTTAGTGCTAGTGGAAATGGTGTCTTAAAGTTATTTTTTAATGATAAAGGCAAATATGCAAGCCAGTTTTTCGCTAAAATAGCGAAGTAACCGTTGCACATAGACACTTTTTTATATTGTAAGGTGAAAAACGAGCAATCGCCTGATCATCACAAAAAAAGGATACCTCCTCTTCTCATCGCTTCTTTATAACAATCAAACTGTTGCCGTGTGGCTTTTTCCGCATGAAATTATAAAAACTTTATTTTATTGCTTACATTTGTGAAAATTTAAATGAATAAATGACAATGAAGGTGTGTATGTGTACGCTTTATATTAGGGTAGATATAGATAGGCGGAAAGGAGTTCAATTAAACATACGGCACGTAGACCTTTTACACGCATAGTTATCACTGGAAGCACAGAATGAGTTGTTATGTGTGTATTGCAGGTGATGCGCGCCTGCTGGCGGCAGTCGCCCGACGAGCGGCCCTCCTTCCGCGCGCTCAAGGAGGAGCTGAGCGCCATGCTGCGCGACTGACTGCGCCTGCTGCTGGCGCTGCTGCGCCCGCGCCGCCTCGCTTCCGCCTCGGCCCCCGCCCCGCGCCGCCACGCTCCCACCCTGGCCCCAGCGCTGCACGCCTCGCCGCTCTGAGCAAACACCGACACCACTAAGGGCCTGTCCCACCAAATTGCAAATTGTCTGATAATAATCGAACGTAATGTAAAATATGCGACGGTAATATCGGATTTTGTTCCCTTAGCTGACAGTGACCTCATTTTAAAGCTATCTGAGTCTCTATCAGCCAGTGGTGGGACAGGCCCTAAACATTATTATAAACAGTGTAGACTATTATGTAACTAGGGGTGTGCGAATATTAAGAGTCGAATATTAAATCGATTCAAAATACGAAATGAATAATTCGTGAATTTAGAATATTCGTCCACCCCTAAGTGTCAGATGAGTTGGATAGTAGCGCAGTAGTGGATCGTATGACTCCTTGGCGCCAGTGAGTTTCCGCAATACCCCAGTTGCATGTCAATCCAGTGAGCGCTACTGTCTAACTGTCCTGGCCAAGTGTAAACCAGGCATAACCTCTACGATGTACACAATGTCCCACGAACGTGAACAGTCTGCATTAAGTTACCGGTCCATAGTTATCAAATAGGAAATAATACAGAGTGTTCTTTTTTCCTTATTTAAACCAATATGTTTGACACATTTACTTGCGTTTGTGTTCGCATATTTGGTTGAATCACATACGTTCAATTTTCAATACAAGATGCAGCACAGACTTATTTCTATTGTGGTTAGTCAAATATTTGTAGTAACTGCAAACCAATGCAATATTTAGATTAAAAGCATGTGTATTATTCATATATTTTTAGGAATTCATCCTAAAGCCACAGAACAAAGTCCTCATGTGTCCTCATGAAGTCCATAATTGATGTTAATTATTGTATCGCGAGTATTTAATTCATTTTTCTATGAAAATAGGACAAATAGTCACTAAAACTACGAATAGTTGATGGATATTAGATTCCTTTTCGAAAAGTATACGCTAAATGCTATTCGAAATGTTTGTCGTGGCATAGCCATTGGTAACTGTGATAAGTAATTTTCAAACTGTATCAAATGTAATTCTTTTAAACTTCTTAAACTAACACAAGAGTCCATAAACACGTCTAAAAAGAAAGAAACAATGCACAAATCGGGAATTTGAAACTTTTAAAGATATAATTTATTGTCCATTAATATTGTTAAGGAATTTCAAAGACAATTTAATTGCTCATAATCAGTAGTAGACAAATTCATTGTAACGTTAAATATTGGATGAAAAAAGTAGGAATAAAAACGCCTTTTAACATCAATATCCTATCTTAACACAATATAAAATACAAGCTAAAAAAACATTAATTTAGTAACTAAATAAACCTGTATATAGTTATTGAGATAAAATAAATAGGGTTGCCAATAATTTTTATTCAGATTATATAGTCCATAACAATAGCTGTTTAGAATCGTCATTATTGTTGATTTTAATACAAATTGGTCTTTGTAGAGCAATAAACAATGCTTGCTATAGGAATTGAATGATTTGTTCTCAAGTACAAATGATGTAAAAAATTAATGGTTGTTCAGTAGCACCTACAACGAAGTAGCGATTCACTTTCTTGTCGTCTAACGATATCCTTACAAAAAAATAAAATTTCAGTAGTTATTTTATAACGACAATAAAATAATAGTACGATCACTAAGTGGTTAATATGGCGTCGAAGTAATCCGTTCATTAAATAAACATCAACTGTCTGATATACGCATTCTAAATAAGCAACTTAGTAATAGATTTGAGAATAATTGCCATGTTTATTTTTTTGTTCTAATATTTTCAATCAACTAAAACTAAAATACATTTTTATTTTTACTTAAAGCTATAAAACTTGCGTTTAAATAAATGTCATTTATTTTAAATAAAAGAAATGTAGAACACAAAGTACATCAAATACATTTTACTCCAGCTTGCAAATATTGCTTCAGCAAATGTAAGAAGTTAAATTAGGAATCCAAATATAAATAAAGCTGTATGAATATGGTATTAAAAAACGTAAACACGACTTTAATATTAAGCCTAGTTACGTTCGCCTTTGCTAGACTAAATAATTATCATAATAAACGGTACTGATTTGTATAATAAATTAAGAAAAACGCATGCACGATAACATGAGACTGACGCGAATGTTCGTGTAAAAACTTGTATTGTTTGTACATTTATATTATATTCGTGTAAACGGATAAAACCACTTAAAAACTTTAGTCAAATTCCAATAGAAGATATTAGATCAAATGAATATAAAGATTTTTTTATTTTAAATTGCTGTAATCACAGACTTGTTAAAAATAGACATGTTAGCATTTTAAACACTGAAAGTTTTCGTAATAAATCCATAGACAATAAATTAATTGTCAACCAGTCACCATGAGTGAATAAAAGTTCTTATTGCTATTGAATTTGACTAAACAAGTTGTGTATTGAAACCGGAGTATAGATGTCATGTTATTGTGCACGCGGAGTAGTAGTATACTCATCGTTACATATCAAGTCGATCATATGTTAGCTCAAAAATCCCCGATAGTTCCGGGTTCGAATCTCAATTAGTTTGTATGAATAAAATTTGATGGATTTTTAAGTACAAAAATCAATACAGTTGTATTTGGACTATTCGGATATTTTCTTCTCGATAGGTCTAATGTTTTTTTTTCCATTGGGTCGGTTTGTTTGGTTTCAATCAGCCTAACGGGAAACACCCTACTATTCGCTCAACTATAACCATTTACTTGTAATAATTTTGTATCTCTGCTCTTTGATTATGCACATGATTGTGTAAAAATTGTAACATTAACTAGTATTTTAGTCGCATAGCTACATCCTATTCATTCATATATCTATAACTCGTGCGTATTCGTAAGTTCCATTGTACATATATGTTAGTTTAGTTATATCATAATAATGGCAATGACTTGTAGCAAATCTGTATTTCCATAATGTAGTTATTTTAACAAGTTAATTTTAACCATAACTTATTTGTTATAATTAATTTCTCTTCGAAGTTCGTCGTAGAAATTTCTCAAATTATAGTTACCATCTACAAATGGGATGGTTATTAACATTTTTTTGCAATTTGACCATTTTTAAGACATTCCATTGTATTTATTTTTTATTTTTATATATCGTCACAAAAATACATCGATAGAAATAAAAACTAGTCAATGCCGAATTTATAGCGCATTTTGTATTATACAAAAGCATTCCAAACATTACAACTAATACAACTATTTGAACGATTTTCTTGTAGTCACAGCGTCTCTTTCGCTCGTGCATTAATATACATGCCTTCCCACTTGCTCATATGTGCAGACATAAGCATGCATAGACAGGTCTTTTCTTAAGCATTAGCAGGTGCACTTCTAACCGAAGAAATGAACTCAGTTAAAAATTGTGCATGTGTAGACTAAACTATATAGTTCAACAGTTAGAAGAGCGTCTGTAATAGGCTTTAATCTATGGTCAACTGTGGGTGAAACTGCCCCAAGCTGTAAGTGATGTACTTGTGATAGCCGGGAAGATTTTTTTCCTCGCGCTCGCTAAATGCAAAAAAATCTATGGTCACATTTTTCAAGACAGTTTTAGTGACAGATGTGCCAAACGAGGATAGTACTTTGGAGGGAATTTATTAATAGGTATTATTTTTAAGTATAACTCTGACTGAATATCGTAACATTCACTATGTAGGTACAGCCAGCAGCATAAGTTGTTTAGCGAAGAAAACATGATAATTTACGTTATAATTCTACTATTTATCAATAAAGTATTTAATATTCTAATATTAACTAATAATTCATATAATTTTATTGGCAAAAAAATTGTTATAACTTATTCTGCAATATAGGTTCCTTTTTGTCTAATGATTTATTAACTTGTATCAGAAACATAAACTTTTCGCTTAAATTAAGTGGAATATTATCTTTGCATTTATCCTCATGTTGCTGGCTGTACACGAATTTACTTTCAATCCTATAGGATAAATATTTTCGAAGAATTTCTTAACCGTATTTAGATCTTAGATATTGTTTAAGTTTTGGATATTTTTTGTGATCTTCATATGCTTAGTGATATGATGGTATTTATCATGTTTTATACAATTATTTTTAATTTTAGCTTTGTCATATATTAATATGTAACCAATCCTATAAATATATTACGTCATAAGTTTTGTCAGTACAATATGTTAAAATACACACGAATTTTTCGTTTAAATAGTGTAATTTGCTTGAAATTTGTACAGCAATTGATTTGTATAACAGGTTTTTTTAACTTTTAAGTTAAAATAAATAAATGCAGTTAAAATTTGTAGTTTTATTGATTACATACGCTCGATTATAAACAGAAGTAAATACTTAGCGAGTATTATAAATGCCGAAGTTTCGAAGGATGGATGATTCGATGTTTTTTATTTCGTATCTCTTGTCTGGAAGAACACAAAGACTATTATTTTTTTTAATAACGGCTCGTAATGATGTTACTAGTTATCAACTAGTAGTTAAATCTGAGTAAAAAATAATAAATCAGTCGAGTATGAAGACTAATAAAAATGCATTTTTTCTGTAATCAGGTACCTTTATTAATTTAACTAACTCTTAAATGACAGCAGAAGTCAATTGTGTACAACACTTTTGCAGTTCCAATGTGCAAAAATACCACCATCAGTACGCCACAAAGACACTTTTGGAAAATGTACTTTCACATTTTGTATGAAAAAACAAAAGTATATTATCATTATCTGTTTCCATTTGTTCTTTAACTATTTTTAATTATGAATGTGAGTTAAAAATAATTATTAAAAGCAAATATTACCTGTAGTATTAGGTTTTAGTAACAATTTTAGTAAAATTAAAATAACATATTATGATCTATTTAACACCTTAAAAATTAATTGAACTAATATTTTAAAGCAGTAAAATTGGATTTCGTTGAACGAAATAAATAAAACATGGCACCACTTTTAGGGTCTGTATCACAATATTCAAGTAAACTAAATCAACTAACACAGAAAACTACCTGTTAAAATATTTCACAACTTATTTAGTCAAGAAGAGATCGTCAAACACCAACAATGTTGTTTATTGACAAATAAATTTCAAATAATCATTAAACAGGTCTTTCATGTCTTTGAAACATAACAAATATAAATATCCTATTACTTTAACAAAATTACGTTGGCATACTAAATTCTTATTAAAAAAATAAAATAGTGAATTGTTCTGTTTTCATGATTCATGTAAGACAAACTTAAGCAAACTTACATCAATCTAAGCATTAAATGATGCAAGCAGTAAACAACAAATTTGTCATTAAAAGCGAACTCTTATATACTTCATATTCTAATTAACATAACAATAGATTTAAATTATTAATTTTTTCTAGCTTATTATTAAGTAGGGATATTTACCATTAGTTATGCTTTGCTTAAATTGGTAGTTTATTTTATAGCAACAAAAGTTATTTAAAGCCATTGCTTAGTCAATATTTAATAAAAGTATTAATTTATAAAACCAGTAAATTTATTTTCTTATCAATAATATCTGGGTCGTAATATTTCCAAATTTATGTAAGAAACAAAAATAAACCTTATTTTATTTATTAATATATATGACTATGACATATGACTAGTTTAACCGGATATTTAATGTTTTTTATATTTAATTTTTAATAATGTCAAAGTTTGTTTTTAAAATTTTAATAATTACAATTTCTGAAGCATTGCTTCTAAATGCCAATTAACCATTTAAATATTTATCATTAAAACTTGTATAAACTACATATCTGTTGGCAAGATGTCTGGGATAAGATATTTACAAAGATCCATTTCAGAATTCACAAATGTCACTTTTCCCGCCGTATTCTCATCTAACCTGAAATTAAAGTACACTGATTAAATTTCAAATTAATCTCATAGGATTAGATAAAAAATTCAATCTATAATAATACAATCTATATTAATATTATAAAGAGGAAAGATTTGTATTTTTGTATGTATTGTAATAACTCAAAAATTACTGGACTTAAAAGAGGGCTTCTAAAAATTTGTTCACCATTAAAAAACTACTTTTTCAATGGGGAACATAGGCTATATTTTTTTATATCTTTTTAATTTCATGCAGATGAAGTCAGAAGCAACAGCTAGTAGAGTGTAATTTGACAATTATGCTTTTACTTGAAATCATATGTCTTACCATCCTTTGATCACAGCCCAGCAACCAGCAAAAAATGCTGGTGAATTAATAATTAAACAAACACCAAGTCTCTCTGGATAGTGGCGGCTGAGCAGCCAAATAAGATTCTTGAGAACCTGGTAATCCATACATGATAATGTGAAGTTGTTCAAATCAAACACAATGCACAGATTGTCTACTACTTCTTCGAAACATTTTTTACTTGCATCTTCCTGGAAAGGTAAAAAAATGGTGTTAACAGCACAGCATAAACGGCACTATGACATTTTTACACAAATGTGTAAAAATGAACATTTCTAAATAGAATGTGTATAGTGATGGGATTATTGTAATAAGACATTGCGAATTTAAACATGTTTACAAATTTTATCACTTCTTTATAAATGATTTTTAGTACGAGTCCAAAAGGTTATCTTTACTTTGATAAAAAGTCACAAATATCTACTTACCAAGCAATATACAATAAACTTAGTAAGATCATCAATATTTCTATCACTTGAACTATGATTTTTGGCTGGAATATAGATAATTGGGCGGCCCACAATATCTCTATGTCTTAGTACTCTTGCTTTATCATTGTACTTATCTATTAATTCTTTGTTTTCGTGTAGCTCTGCTACTCCATATTCCGTTCTCCATTTGTTTGTCTTTAAAATAGCCTGTAAATTAAAAATTTAGATAGTCCATATGGTACAAAATAGTTATAAATACAATTTATGGTAGTTAATTCAAAAATCTGAATCATTTAATAATAAAATATATTTTTCAATGTTGTCAACAACATATATATTCGGTAAACAGTAAAATTACCGCGTATGATAAATACCTGAAAAGTGCTGTCGACGCTTTTAAATGCTCTTAAATATCTACGTAAAGAGTAATCATTATGATACTGTGCGGGATCTGCACTGACAATTAAATTCATTCTCTCCTTTAGTAGTTTGAAATCTTCTTCATTCACTGGTTTCGGTTCTTCAGCCATCGTAAATTATATATCACTCAGTAGCTACACTTAATAAATATGTAGTTTTAGGGTTGCGGATACAAATACGGAAAAACAATTTAAAAATTACGTCCAGATACATATAGTTGAGTTAAATGCTATAAGAATTGTGAAAATTAGAAACAGATAAGAGAGTAGTGATAAACCACTGTCAGCTCTGCGTCAACTGTCAATCTGTCAAACGACGGATTCGGATATCTGAACAATGATGTAAAATGCAAGATGAATATTGCATTTTTTTTTCTATAATAACGCGCAAATTATTTATATCAATTAATTTCGTATCAGAGTGTTTTTCGATATGTTGTAAATAAGGGAGCGGTTTAAGTTCTTAGATTTTATACATTCTACTTCTAAACGTCGAAAAAAAACAATGTGATTTAAATCTTAGTGCTTTCTAAGGAGAGTAGGATACGCTAAAAGCAATCAATTGAATTATCTTTGACCACCATTATCTGTAGTACGCACGAAATGGTTTCAATTGAGATATAACTTACCTTATCAAACTCTAGATAATATCGCACCTATGTAAGTGCTTCACTTCTTATAAACACTTCATCTTGTAGTATTTGTGTTTTTACAATATATTTTATAACAATAACGTACATAGATGCTCTTTAACAGTTAAGTACTAAAAGTATCTGAAATACTTTGATAATGATTAAGCTTTTTGTAAAATCAAAATTTCGTTTTCAATTTCAAATATTTAACCCGTATTAAAATACGGATTATAGTAATCTATCATCTCGGAAATTAAGGTAACATCTGGCTTTCGTAATTTTATTAGAACATGCAAAAAACATTACTGCGCTGTGTCGCGCTAGGACAGCGTTGTTAAATGATGTATTGGCTTTTAGACGAATTTTACGTAAAAAATGTTCGAACAACATAGTCTAAAAACGTTTGGTTAATTAAACACCTGAGACTTTTTGTCCTTAAACGAAGGAATTTGTATTAACTTTTACAAATAAAATATAACATTGCGAGGATAAAGAATAACTTTAAATTCTTCTAAATTGAAACTTTTAAACATGAAGAAAAATACCTCGAATATTTTTTTGTTTATAATATAGTGCTATCGAATTCAGCAATTAAAACAATTGAATAAGGACAGTCGTATTTAATCACTTTTTCCTGAAACCAGTACATTACATTCATTGTATTTATGTCAGAAGACCATTGACAGTGAAAGCTGGGAGATGTCCAATAACTCTTCTGAAGTCGGCGACGGTACAACAGAAACTGTAGCCGATATCGACACGGTCAGGCTGCCACCTGAGCCAACTGAATGCGTTGTTGTTGCGGCAGCGGTCTGTACAGAACTGCAGATTGCGAGCCTCCGCTAGGGTGTAGTGAGGGTTGTTGATGCTTATGAAAGCGGTGCCCAGACGTCGCGATGCATCGTACGCCACCTTGATAAAAATGAATATTTAAATACATAACACTTGGTCTTTTAATAGCTTATCGTAGAGTTTCGAAGGTCATAAAACATAAAACAATCCAACTAACCTTGTAGAAGTATTGCGGAACAGGAATTTGGTTGTTGTTATGGAGGAAGATATCGACAAAGCGGTTGTTAGCATTTCGCAGTTGCGTGACTCCGAATGTGCCCGTGTAGATGACTGTGTTGTAAC